CTAGATACAAATCAATAAGATTTTACTCACATTTACAATTTTTTTTCTTTTAATGTGATTTGTGTATAATCATGAAATGAAAGTATTTTTTTAAAACAGGTTTTACCTCTAAGTACTCTATACTTATCTCTGAATCCAAACTTTTCTGAATAGTTCCTTCAATTAAGAAAAAATGGTGGCTGTTCTAAACTGCTTTTCTGAAGAAACCCATCTCTTACTGCTTTTAGAAGTCAGGCTGAAGTAATTAATATGAATACCTCCACATTTCAATTAAATTCAATTAAACTCATTTTCATAGTAGATTAAGGAAGTTCAAGATGGAAAAGACCTATTAAATCTATCCCACTGAAAACTAACACATTGAGGGCTTGTTTCCATGCATTTAAAATACTCAAAAGTACTGTTTTAATGAATATTTAATGTTCTATTTATCTATTCTACAATTTACATTTTAGACATAGATCGTTTTTATAAACTTCAGTATTTCATGGATTACTGTAAAATCAAACGTGAAAAGCCTATAGCTATGGCTTTTAAAATATTTTATGGGCAAAAATCCAAAACTTGTAACAAAACAGATTTCTTCATAACAGCAAAATGCCAAATACTAAATATATATTCCGGTATGGCCCAAAAGGCAACAAAAAGCCAATCCAACAGGAAAAAATATATCTGACATTAAGTATGACAAGTTTTTAGTCAATCCTTCCATCGGTATTATTCTCACATTTCATTAAATGGATTTTTAAGAAAAACAAATGCTTTTGGCATAACAGAGTCTATCGTCTGCCACTAAACTAACACTGAACAGTCAATAATCTAAAGGAGTAATGTCCAATCTCTATTTTTCATAGGCCACATTCTCTCCCTCCTCAATGTTCAAGAATACGGGAAGTTTGGATTGATGTTCCCTCATGCTAAGAGTGAGCTAAGAGCCCAAGGAGAACACCAAATCCCAAGATGGCTCTGCATCTTAACGACAGCACAGTGCCCAAATTCGTACATTTACAGTTCATGAAAAGACAACTGAATTGCTTTTCAAGCATGTGCTCTCTCAAGATCTCCAGTCTCAACCCCAAGCGTAACAGGAGATGCTGGGTGCAGACTGTAAAATGACCTGTGGATATGCACCACTTCAAGTCTCAGGAATGGGACTGAGAATCCGTTCACATTTGCAGTCCAACGTAAACTGACTCATCAGTCACTACCTGGCCTTCCCCGCCATTTTAACAGTTCAATTACAGTTTATTTTGACTTGTCTTCACTGAGAAGGGAAAAATTATGATCCAACTTGTTATGCAAAAAATTATACATTAAGAAGTATAACAACAAATTAGTTTTCACAACACGCTTAAATAAAATCAGCTTCATGCACAGCACTCATGAACATCTCACATCAAAGCATGTTCTCCCTTCAAAAGGCCTAAGGGTTTTTTTCCCTTGAGAATCTTCCTTTAGATTGGTTATTTCAGCATTTTTGAGCCAAGTTATCTCGAGGCAGACTGTGACTGTTTAACAATCAGTACTTCAGAGAAGTCAATGCATTTGTATTTAGTATCTTTTAAAAGAATTCATAATTACAGAAAATCTATTTTTCAAGTTAAAAAAATCTGAAATCAAAAGTGGAAATGAGGAAAAGTGAGTTTGGTATAACATTTTAAAATGTGACAGTGTACTTCAGATCAGAATGCTCCTCAGATCTTATAGCTTCATATTATAAAATCCTATTGGATTACACTTAAAATTAAACTAATGTAACATTTAGTTCATATTATCTTCTTGCCATCTATGTTAAATCTTTCCTTCTAATAACAGTCTCCAGTTTATTGTATCTTCAGGTCCGACTGGATAAAACAGAGTGGACAATAAATAAAACAACTTAAGGTCAGGAACTTTCTAGGTAATTCATAGTGATTTGTTAAGTATTTTTCTTAGGAAATAAATACAGTTAAGTATCTGAACCACCACCAAGCTTCCCAAGATATCAATGTGCTTTATCTAATGAGCACACTAGCCAGAACTACAAAGAAATTAACCCACAACCAAAATTAACTTTATTTTTTTAAGTGCCAAATAGTTACCCTTCAAATGACTGAGGTGATAAATGCAAATGCAGTTAGACAAGCTGGATTCTCGGCGTGTTGTGTTTTCTTTTACTTAAGTGGAATAGTAAAGTTTTGCTACCTTTAAGTATTAAAACTGTATCTCACATTAAAATTAAGCTGTTTAGACTGAAATTTCAGGAATAATGTAAAAATTAAGTACAAACAAAAGTAAGTGCATAGTAGTTGTCGATTTCATACCCTTTCCAAACATAATTGTTTTACCACAGCATATACTAGAAAGAGTCAGGATTTCACCTTGCTTTCTAGTCAGACAGAGCAAAGAGTTAAAAACTCCAGCACATCTGTGCACAGGGAAAATGATAAACTGATCGGCCAGATGAGGAACAGAAAAACCAGCACACACTTCCAGCACAAGGGCAGTACCTTCAAGCAAAAATGTTGCTTGGTCACATCTATGTACTGTTTTTAGGAACCAAATTTAGACCATTCCTTTTCTAACAAAATTATGTGTTTATCGTATAGCGAGAGTCAGTTACTACCACATACAGCAGAACAAAAATCACCACCTTTACTGTTGAAACGTGTAAAATAAACATGGCTGGGCAGCCCTAAGAAAGCTTTATCAAGAGCAGAATTTGGCAGCCTGTCATCAGCTACAAAAGGAATTCGTAATGAAATCCTTAAAGTGTGCCCAAATTAAACATTTCAATATTTATGTTTTAGGACTTAAAGGCTTGGTTCGTGGATATTTAAAGAGAGATTAGATGTTTTTCTGCAATAAATCCACTGCTACCATGGCAGCAGAGCCATCCAAGTCACAGTTTTGTGGGAAGGGTAGCTCACAACTGTTGAATGAACAACACTAATATTAATTAAAATCTACAATAAGTTTCAAATACATACATACCTCTGCTTGCAATGAAAAATGCAGTGCAACAAAAATGCACTTAAAATATGAGACTGGCAAGGAAAGAATGAACCACTTTTTGCAGATTTGGTATGTTTAATGTACTTCTGAAACACACTCAGATACTACAAGGATGAATGTGCATATATGGAAACAAATATACAGGAGTTAGTCAAAAGGCCTGAATGACAGCCTTTCCTTTGAAAAACTGAACAGACAGCTTGAATCTACTTCAAGTTATATTTAAAACATGTTCCCCTTACAGCTTTACAGTTTAGAATTACCAGCTCACACCAGTACTTTCTCAATCCCCATAAAAACCACCATGCACGAGTGCAGATAAGACACAAGTCATCCAGTATTTAGACACCTTACTAGATACCAATATAAAATGAAATTTCAACTGAATGCACTACACCAAAGCAGAGAGCTTAGGTAGTTGCTATATGCAAACACTAGTTTACACCTAGTGAAAAAAGCAGCAGTTTTCCTCAATGCTGTTTTTTTTGGAAGAGTGTGCTAAGTAAAATCAGCTGCAGGGTTTTTTTTGGAAGAATGAGTGCTGTGATGTGATACATGTATCAAGTAGGGGAAAGA